GCCAACTGACCCATGAAAGTTTCAATCCCACTAGCCTAAGCTCGATAGCACAGCTTCAACCAACTGAGCTAATCATGGTCAAGTCAGATTCAACTCAGCTGGTGTGGAGACGCTCTCCGCCGTTCACACAACATTCTCCAGCAGTGTTGTTAAGATGCTGTGTGACCCACCACACTTGCCAACCTCACTAATGATCTCATCTTTTTAAAATCTAAATGTAATGTAGCAAACAGATGTGTCCCTTAAAAGGATTAAGGTGGAAATTCATTAGGGCAGTAATACCCAGGGATTTGTGTTCTAAAACTAACACCAATCAATCAAGTTAGTACAGGCTGTCTTAGCACTACTCAGCTTCCTGGGGTACACCAGAGAAGGGGATAGTCAGGACTTCACCATCAAGGAAGTTATTTATGAGCAGAGAAGACAGTGAGACCCCCACCTGCTGAGCCCCCGGACCTAAGTGGCCTGGAATCCAGGCTGCTTGATTGTAATATGCCCAGGAACCCCACAGACATCTTGAGGAAACGCAGACTCAGAGGTATCTGAGGAGGTTGTAGACTGTTTCCTACAAGAGCCCAGGCTCTAATCCTCACTGCAATCACAATCGGAAGTTTAATAGGTGAGCTAGCTGAAGCAGCAAGGTAACCACAAAGACAAAGGTGGTGAGAAAGCAGCCCAGCATGAGCAAGGCTAATCCAATGAGCAGGCGGACTATCAGTCGTCAACACCGAGCTCTCTGGATGGAACTTCCCACTCACGTGGCCAGGTGACTTCCTTCTGCTCTGACTCTGGTCTTCTGAGAGACAAGATCCTACAACCACTGGACCTATGATGTTTTAGAGATAGAGCCTATCTATGAGAACGTTTGGCTCCATAATCAATCATCATCATCATCATCCACACAGCATTATTATTTCATTCTACGGGTGGAGCAATAGCACAGCGGTAGGGCATTTGCCTTGCACACAGCCAACATGGCCAACCCGAGTTCGATTCCTCCGCCCCTCTCAGAGAGCCCGGCAAGCTGCTGAGAGTATCTCACCCGCACGGCAGAGCCTGGCAAGCTCCCCGTGACGTATTCGATATGCCAAACACAGTAACAACAAAGTCTCCAATGGAGACGTTACTGGGCCCGCTCGAGCAAATCGACGAACAACGGGAGGGCCTTTACCTTTACCTTACCACCAGTTCTCAAATTTATTTCACCTACTGCTCCTTTTCAGAAATCATTCAGAGCCACCACCCTGAAGTCTACCTTCTTTAAGAGAACAAACAGAAAGCAGCCCACATAATTGCACCTTGCCCCAGGATCATTCCCCTTATAGGATGTAATGGTCCATTTGGGGAAATACTGCTATTCCATAGAAGACCATTTCAATCTCCAGAATTGATTAATAAGGCCTAATTACAATTTCGTCAAGTGAGCTAGCATACACTTTCCTAGAAAAAAAATTGGATAGTTGTATTTTGTTTATGAAAGGGAAGCAAGACTCTATATTCTCTGCTTTGGTATCAGTTAATACAATTAAGCTTTGCAAAGTCTGTTATTTATGAATTCTGGTGCCTAGATATTTTTTCTAAATCAGAAGTCCTACAATTGCACTTTTTCTTGTATAACACAAACCCAAAATAAGCACCTGTTAATGTAGGATTTGAAAGCAGCAGGCCACTTAACCAGAGCAAAATACCATCGCTTAGGTGGACTGACAGCACCTGCCCCAAGCCTTCTGTTAGTGAACAAACCCCCTATTCAATAGTCCTCCCAACAATGATGAAAAAGAACTTTTTAGCCTAACAGTTTGAAGGAATGATAAAGCAAAACAAGGAGAAAATCTTTTTTGTTGAATTGTTTCATTAAATGAACAAATTTGAATGAATCACCAGGGATGAGATCAATTAATGTATCATTAGCTTGAGAAAAGATGCATTGACTTAAGACTGGTGTTTACTTAGTTTGGAGAAGTCTTTTGGCTTGTTTTATTTGGGTGCTATCCTCAGTGATGCTCAGGGGCTAGTCCCAGCTCTATACTCAGGGATTATTCCTGATGACACCAGGAGAAATCATACACCACGCTAGTAATCAAACCACAAACTGGGATGGCCTTTATGTAAGGCAAGCGCCTGATTCTGTACTAACTCTTTAGCCTGACTCCAGTTTTGGACTTGGAAGCAACCCAGCTCAGGAGTATCCCTAGGAAAAGTCTCACAAACCAGGACCCTGTGTGAGGCTGGGGCTAGCTGCTCAGAGTATGTGCTCAGTGACAGATCGCCAGCTGCATGGGCCAGTGCTTCAGGCCACCTGGCCATACAGGATGTCTGAGAACAGAGAGAAAGTCAGCCTGATCCATGTCCCTTACACACATATACACATACACATACACATACACAAAACTCCCCCTCTAGCCAAGGCTGAACTTCATGGAACCTAGGAGAAATGTTCTCTGGTTTCTATGACAGGGATTGGGGTGTTGGGGGTCCACTCACTAACCTCTAGCTAACTCACCACATGGTAAGGAGCTATTCCACCTCTGACTGTGAACTCCATCAGGCCAGGAACTCTGCCCCCAAGACGCTGACTCACACTTGGAACACTCACCTGCCCCAGGCCAAAAAGAAGCTGGCACACCAGGATGATCAGGAGAGCTAACTCCCCTGGGTAATGAAAAGGAAGCCCCTAGGGTGACCTCTCCCCATACTCATACAATCGGCCCAGGAAGTTGAACCTCTGTGGGAGTCTCCAATGACCTTCTCTGACTCTCAGCTTCCCTGACCTAGGAGACAAAGTAGGTTACTGTGGCCCTTTCTACCTGTTTACCTGTTTCCTTATCTGTAGAATATAGACAAAGCCTCACTTCACAGGGGTAAAGGACATGCAGACCCCATGTCTACATGCCAAATGCTCAAAGTTCATTATTAGCTCTTCCTCTCACAGGTGTGTGATCCAGTTTGCTCTGCTTGTATCTTTGGGGGCTTACTCAGCAGTCTGTGAGGGGCTACTCCAGGCGGTCCTTGAGGGGATCACGCAGCACCAGGGATCTACCTACTGCATGCAAACCCTATGCTCAAATCCTTTGGGTTATCTCCCTGGTCCAGCCTGGATGATACAGTTTTCAGATTCCCTGCTGGAAAGTAGCCAGCATTTAAAATATAAATAGGAACCTAGACATAGAAATACCCCCAACTCTGCTTCACAAAACCACACTAAGAGAACCAGCCTCTCACTCATCTCCGGATGTGAGGAACGTCAACCCTATGAATATGCTGCAGGAGGCTTTGGCAAGACCAAGACCAAGGCTGGCTGGCCCCCAGGAAAAGGTGCCCAGTGTTACTATGGGACTTCTTCTGGTTCTACGTTTTGCACAAGAGCAACTTTTGAGTGTGCTGTGAGCCAGACTCCTCATGTGCCTTCAGGCTGAGGGAAGTTGGGGTGGGGGAGCGTGGAGGAGGCAAAAATGCCTTGAACCTCCTATGGGACCGGAGGACTGGATCAAGACCATGGGATCGGTCCATGGAAACACAAAAACATGCTTAGCTTCCAGCTTTAAAGGTCAAGCCCTGTCTATAGAGTTGGAAATCGAAGGAAACCACTTCACCACTTTGGTGTCTTAGGGACACCGTCTTAAGTCTTCTGTTGTTTCAACAAAAGACCACTGTGCTCAGAGACCAAAGTGAATGGATATTCCTGATGTTGAAGAAACCCTTCAAAACCTTTTAAGTGAAACCATTGATTGAGAAGCAAATTTTTTTTAATGATTCTGAAAAAAATGAATCTCGGACACCACCTCTGCCCTCTGTTTTCTAGTGCAACCTTCTCATATGACCAGCGAGGTCCCCGCCCACCATGCACCTGTCCTGCACCCAAAGGGAGAGAAGGAGCAAGAACTGCCTGGTGCCTCATTCCTGCAAACAAGTTACTAATTAAGTAGGGCGGTGAGGCAGAGATAGAGTGGAGATTTTGGTAGGAGTGGAGGAAAACCACTCACTGGGTCCATAAGGTACCAGAACTCACTGGCTACCACATGCAGCCTCCTGCTCTACTTCCAATCCAAGTCATGAACATCATGCAAAAAAATCTAGTGGAAGGTTTTTTGTTTTTTAATTGGTTTGGTTCATGGGGTGGGGGTGGGGGGCATTCAGGTCATCTCATGTTCTTCACCTCAAAGAATAAATCACCTGCAAGTTCTTATAGGAAGCGTAAGCAAAAAAAAGAAAAGAAAAAATGTAGTGGAGAAGTAATTCTTGAGGTTGCAGTTAATCTGTTTAAGTGGGAGGAAAGGTTGTCCCCGGTAACGAAATGATTAGCTTTCAATGGTCAGTTCTCCGCTACAAACACTTTGCAAGACGCCTTGTCCTCTGAGACAGAGGAGGCGGGGGGCTGGAGGGTGGGGTGGGGTGGGGGGGAACCGAGAAGCCATTCTTCCCAGGGGACACTCATTTCGGGCTCCGAGGTTGCGGCTTTGTGCGCGCGCCGCCCCTCCTCCCCCCGCCCCTGCTCCGCGGCGTTCCCAAGGCCACCTGCTTCTGCGCGCGAGCAAAAGGGGCGACTCCGGGCGCGACTGCGGAGCGCGGCCGACGGTGCCCCCGGGGAGGGGCGGCGGGAGAGGGGTCCCCGAGAAGCACGCTTTGTGCCGAGGGTCGCGCGCCACGACCCAGATGCTTGCAGCTCGGTGGGGTTGGGTTGGGGCGGGGAGGGGGGGTTCCCGGCGTTGCTTGGGGATCGTTTCCCCGGGCAGCGTCCCGCGGGGGGCAACGCCGCTGCCGGCGTCCGCGCCCCACCCCGCCCACCCGGCCGAGCTAACGGCGCGGCGCCGGGGAACCTTCTCCATCCCGCCGCCGGCCGACGCGGCACCTGCTGGGCCGAGCCCGGGCCCCGGGTCCCGGGTCCCGGGTCCGGGTCGCAGCGGGGTGCTCCCAGCCCGGAGAGCGGGGAGGGGGCGTCTGGCCAGCGCGAGCCCGCGCGCTTCCCCGCAGGGCTGCGGCCGCGGCCGCCGGGCTGTTACCTTGTGCGGCGCCCGCAGCAGCCGGTGGACCCCGGCCAGCTGGGTGCCGAGCGCGAGGTCCTCGCGGAACGTGAAGAGCGGCGGCCGGCTGGGCTCCGGGAAGTTGGTGCTGTTGAAAGGGTCCGTGTCGTCCAAGAACTGCACCCGGCAAGACAGCGTGGCCATGATGCATCCCTGCCGCGGGGGGCGCGGGCCCCCGGCACGATCGGGGCCGCGGGCGGGCAACGCCGGGCGCAGCGCGAGGGGGAGAGAGGCCGCGGCCGCCGCTCGCTGCTGGCTCGCGGGCTCGCAGGCTCCGGCGCGCCCCGCTGCAGTCCGGGCTCCGGCCGCGGGGGGCGGGCCGGGGGCGGGGCCGGCGGGCCCCTTTCTTCCCCTCCTGCGCCCGCTCCTCCCCTCGGCGCGCCCCGCCGCCCCGGCCCACCCGACCCGCGGCGCGCACCCCCGAGGGCCGCCTCCCGCGCCTCCCGCACCTCTGCACGTGCTCCCCGAGGCCGGAGCTCCCCGAACCCGGGTGCGGGAGCCGCTGGGGACCGCGGCGGGGACCCAGGACGGACCTCTCGCGCCTTCCCCATCTCTGAGCTAGCTGTCCTGCTGCTACCCAGGCTCTGAACGCCCCAGTGGGCACCCCAGGAGGCAGCCTTCTAGAGGGGGCACAGGGAAGGTTTCCCTGGGGGAGAAGGCAAAACGTGAGCCGGAGGACCGAGGGTGCTTCTAAGACACAAGCCCAGGAGGCCCGGCGAACGGCCCCGGGTGCCCGCGAGGCGGTGCTCTGGGATCCCCGCGCCGGGCCGGGCACGGGGCCGCGCAGTCCCTAGTGGAGGTGCCTCTACAGCAACCTCTGAGCAGTTAGGTCTCCCTAAGTTGCAGTGAACCTTGCCGCCTGCTTCCCGCCTGCTCCCGGGATGGGGAGGGGCGCGGGAGAGGTAGGGACCCGCGGGTAACCCGGGCGCTGGGATTTGCAGGCTGCTCGCGGCCTCCAGGCTCTCTCTTCGCCGCTCGAGGGCGACCCCCACCGTCCGCAGCACGCACTCAGGCTTCTTCTTCGTTCCTGGGCACGCAGTTGGGTTCCTCGCATCCCCAAGAGATGGTAGGGAAAATGCCCAGTCGCTCTTAACATTGGCGTCTTTGCCAGGCGCCTCTAAAACGTCTGTCTCTCCCTTTCTCCTGACTGCGAGGGCAAAGGATCCCTGGTCCCACGCTCGGGGGCTTCAAGGCCTCTCCCAGTCACACGTGCACGCCTTTGCTGGTCTTGACTAGCAGGACCCATCTGCTCACTGCATTCCGATTTCTAGCTCTCCTTCCTTTTGCTCTAATCTTTTTCGTGGATGTGCTGACCTGGCCATATACCAACTTCACCATCAGCTCAGCATATTCAGCTCTCCAGTTTTACTCCTTCCGCACCTTGGGTTTCATTGCCAACACCCTTCTAGCTGACAGCCAGCCCACCACCCCAGTTCTCATCGCTGCTCCGAAGGACCTTCTTGCCTCACGTTCTCTCAGCGCTGTCTGTCCTGGGAAATCCTGGCTTGCTTCCATCCGGTCACTCTCTTGAACCCACTTCAGCTTACTGTGGCTCCCCATGGCCCATGGTGCCTGTAAATTCTGTCCTCTGCCTAAACACTATTCATCTGTCCCACAAGAACCCTCGCCCCTTCCAGCACCCCCTCCTTTCCACGCGCCATCTTCCCCATGGAATGGCCAAAGTCCTAGCTGTCCTTCCTTAATGTTCTATCTTCAAGCTGCCCTGATTCAGGCAACCTCTTCCTTTCTCCCTGGCTTCTGCTCCCAGAGTCAGGGCTGGCTTCCTGGAATGCAACCTGTGCTGTGATCCCACACTCATTTAATGCTCTGCCACTGCTGTCTTGAAATTCTTAACATTAGGGCAGGCTTCCAAGCAGTGCTCACAGGAATTGGGGGCTACTCCCAGCAATACCCAGCCAATAACCAACCAGCCAACCACACAGCTCCCCGCTAGGACCTGCATCATCACTGTGCTGCTGGGGTTACAGTGCTGTGGGCTGTCAGGGCCACCCCTGGCAGTGCCCTGGAAGCCATGTGGTGCTGGGAATTAAACTTGGGCCCTTGTGCACTCAAGGCATGTACCCCAATTTCTGAGTCATCTCATCAAAATTCTTAATGATTTTGAATAAAAGGCAAATGATTTTGAAAAAAAAAACGAAGTTTTTGTTTACACTGACTTTGATGATTTATGTAGCTGCACCAGATGAGTCAAGTGTTTTTTATTCTAAAACTATATGTTGGATATTGAGTTATAAGCACGTATAGAGAAATGAAAGAATCACAATGGGATATGTATGTAAACATACATAAAATGTTCACATAGCTCTCTGGAAAGAAAGATGGCGGCCGCACGGGAGCCTTGTGGACAGCAGGTTTGAGCCGGTGGTGGGGGCGACAGGGACCTCATGGGAAGGGGGGGGCGTTCCGGTTCGTCCTTCACGCCCTACCGAGGTCACCAGTTGTCCCCCACGAGCGGCTCTCCGGCACGGCCACGACTCCAGAGCACAGAAACCAATCTCTTAACTATCTAACTTTTAATAGAAATACTTCCAGGGTTAATAAGTAAAATAGCAGAAATCCAAAACCCAGACATCATTTAATTCTTAAAACCCAGCTGTAGAAAGCAAATCATTTCACAACGCTTTTTCAGCATGTCTGATTTGGGGGGGGGGGGGGTCGTAAACTCTAAATAATAATGGTGCATCTTTTATCGAAATAATGAATCTAGTCAAAGTAGATAGAGTGTTAACTAGAACTCATCTGCCTCACAGGAATTGGGAGGGGTGGGAGGTGGTGTTCTATTGGGGTTCGAGGTTAAAAATAAGTATTGGTAAAGGGAAATGTGTTTGATATTTACATGACTGAGACCTAAACCTGAAAGCTCTGTAACTTTTCCCATAGTGATTCAATAAATAAATAAATTATTAAAAAAAAAGTTCACATAAAAAAAAGTTTCTGAAGACATTGGCTTCCAACGAAGAAAGATGAACTCAGTTAGCAGGGATGGGCAGGAAAATAACATAAATAAATTTAAAAAATCATGATATATGAATAGTAAGTGAATAAACTGTAAATAACTATGCGGAGAGCAAAAAAAAAAAAAGCTATATGTTGGGGGCTGGAGCGATAGCACAGTGGTAGGGTGTTTGCCTTACAAACTGCCAACATGGCCGACCCGAGTTCGATTCCTCCGCCCCTCTCGGAGAGCCCGGCAACCTACCAAGAGTATCTCGCCCTCACGGCAGAGCCTGGCAAGCTACCCGTGACGTATTCGATATGCTAAACACAGTAACAACAAGTTTCATGATGGAGACGTTACTGGGCCCGCTCGAGCAAATCGATGAACAACGGGAGGACCGTGATCCAACTATGCGGAGAGCAAAAAAAAAAAAAAAAGCTATATGTTGGGTGCTGAAGCGATAGCACAGTGGGTAGGGCATTTGCCTTGCACACAGCTGACCCAGGTTCGATTCCCAGCATCCCATATGGTCGCTCAATCACCGCCAGGAGTATTTCCTGAATGGATGAGCCAGGAGTAACCCCTGTGAAACACCAGGTGTGACCCAAAAAGAAAAATTAATAAAATTTTTTTTAAAAACTATATGTTGGGCCAGAGAGATGTTTCAGTGGGTCATGTGCCAGCTTTGCATGAAGGGGTCCCAGCCTGATTCCTGGCACTGTGTAGTCCCCAGAGCACCACCAGTAGACCCCACCCCCCGGAGTACAGAGACGGGAGTAGTCACTGAGCATCATCAGTGTGGCCCCAAAACAAACAAAAAAAAGGACCCCTCATGAAACCCTTCTCCAGCTGACCTTTCTCCTTCAGTTTGCCAGCTCCTGAGAGAGAGCTGTTCATTTCTCAGCACCCTCACTCCTTCTCTTCTTGACACCCCAGTTTCTGGCCGAGGGTCCCTGATGTTGTCAGATCATCAATGCCATCAAATTGCCTCTGGCAGATGACTTCTCATGCCTCTGTCCACAGCATCTGTCACCACAACCCACCCCTTTGCCAGACGCCCTCTCCTGCAGCTTCGCTGGGTTTCCCTTCTCTCCCGGGCTTCACTCCCTTGAGAATAGAACCTCACAGCTGTGGCTGCAGTTCTTTTGTTCTCTGCAGCTGGCCACAATTGAAGATTCCTTGAAGGCAAGCACCATGCTCGATTCAACCCCAGGCCCCCTGTGCTAGTAGAGTGTGGGGCGCACAAGACATCTGCTGAGTGTGTACACCTCCGAGTCACCCGAGTCCCTCATCCCGCAGCTGGTGGCTGTGACCTGTCAGCGAACCAGCGAACCAACCAACTTCTCACTCTTGCCTCCTATGCTGGTTCTCTCATGAATTTCCCTTTACAATTTCACATTCTGCCTCTGAACCTCCACTCACTTTCCGGGGGGGGTCAGTGCTCATGCTAAGGTATGCATTGCACATCTCACACCTTTGTTTGGTTGCTTTTGGTTTGGGGGCCACACTGGTGATGCTCAGGGGTGTTACTTCTGGCTCTGCACTCAGGAATTACTCCTGGCAGGCTCTAGGGACCATATGGGATTCCTGGCATTGGACCCAGGTCAGCTACATGCAAAGCAACTGCCCTACCCTCTGCACTATCCCTCCGGCCCCACCGTCTCCCACCTGTAAGTGAAATGCTCCAAGGTCACCCTTTAGCATGACTCACTTGCCCCCATCTACCTTTCCAGGCTCCTCTCTAGTCATTCCCCACTTCAGTTTCCAGCTACGCCAAACTCAAACTCAACTCAAACTTGCCCACCCATCTCTAGCTGAACCCTCTGACTCTCCACTAAGTTTTTCTAAGGTCCCCATGTTTCATAAGCAGCAGGCTAGTTACATTTCTAAGATCATCTCCAACTTCAGCCCAAAAAAGGATTGTTTCTTTTCTCTGTGGTCTCAGATCACTTTCTTCAGGCCTCTATTGCAGCAATGAATGATACATTGCAAATATCTGCTTATCCATGTGCCTAATCCTACTAAACTTCAGGGTTAGAATTTGCCTTGCTCAAATTTTCTCTTGACTTCAGATAGGGACTGGCACCTAAAGTGAAGTCTTTAAATTTTTAATCATAGATTATCTTTCATTCTTTCAAGGAGATTTTCCTTGTAACTGCTCCTAGCAATATTTTTTCTCTGATTAACAGCCAATTTTTTCCAATTCATTTTAAACCATTTTTCACAAAGTAATATAATACTTTCTCTTAGTTTAAAAAGTCAAGACTAATTTTTAAAATTAGTTTACTTGAGCAATCAGTTCCCTATTTATAGTTCTCATACCCATCCCTTC